CCGGAATAGCATGCATGGCTACCATGACAGTTCTGGAGAGGACCACCTCTCCAGAAAGTCAACTCAAAATTCCCCCACCTGATGTGAGTTAAACATCTTATTGGTGAAGACTACAAAAGGGGGACTCCAGTTCTCCTGGCAAACATCAAACAGTAATAAATTTGGAAGTAACATTACGTTTCCTTTGTCATTCTCTGCTCAGAGATGACCCACTCTCTCTTAAGAGGGTTCTTTACTCGAGCCTTACTTTCACTTATAATAAAATTCTCTTGTTTGGTTTTACATGTCAGCCTTTATATTTTTCTTTCATCAGGATACAAAAACCAAAGGTTGGAGCTTCAGTTCCTCACTCACCTGGGACCTATCCACATTCTTTGTGTGATTCTAGGACATGGAAACTGGACATTCACATGAGACTCACCACCACCCTTAGAACGACAGGTATACTAACCTTGACAATAAACACGTGGAAACAAAGGGAAATGATTAAGAAATAGGTCAAGAAAGAAAGATTGATATAGGGGAAAATTGAAGGTCTGTTTTCTCCTACAGAAACTGGCACGTACCCTGCCAAGCCAGGACCTCAACCTAGAACCTGTCAGCTCAGCACCAACAGAACCTCTTCTTGTCCTTCACGCGGGGCTTCCTTCCTTCCATCCGGATCCCTCCCAGCCGCTCCCTGTGAACATCTTGGGCACAGAGGAACAGTGGAAGGATGTGTCAACCCTGTGGCCAGGAGCATGTAGCTCCTGCAAAGCACCTACTCAGAGGGTGAGGCTGGGTGCTGCAGAATGAAATGAGCCCAAGGCTAATGCAGCAGAGGAAAGAGGTAAATGGAAGCTCACACACGGCCTCAACGTCCAGCCTAATTCCGTTCTTTAGCAGGAGGTTGGTGGGAACTAGGGAAGAAGCCAATTAGAGCCCAGTTTTAATTACTTTTTGATAATAACGAGGCTCACACAAAGAGCTTTTGTATATCTTGTCACACACATTTGGATCCACGCTGGGTCTTATGAAAGGGAGCTGATGAGTCCATTTGACTGATGAATAAATGGAGGTGCTGAGGGCACAGCTCACAGGGCCAAGGCGGGTCTGCTCACTCCTTCTTCAGACTTCTCCATCCCGCCTCAAGACTGACAGGAAGAGAAGAGCTGCATGTCCTGGGACTCTATCCAGCTCTCCTGGGTCCAGCAGGACTCCCCAGGAAGCAGCCTCTCTGGGAACTAACTCAGTCTCCCTAGAGGGTCTGCACCCACCCCTGGTGCAATTCTGTTAACATGACCTCCGGTGACTGGACACCATAGTCCCCCTGACATTCATTAACTTGATAGACTGCAAGGTCAGAAATGGGGCATAGGGAAGAAAGAAAGCCAGCACCTGCCTGCCTTCCCTCTGTGACGAATGAACAAGTTGGGGTGAGGGAAGAACCTAGGGACTGAGGGGGAAAGAGGTTCTTGGTTGGGACTTGGTCTCTCTGTGTCCCCAGGGGCTGGGATACTTACTGCCCCACGGAAAACAAACAGACACAAAACCTTCCAAAAGTTCTCCCAGTTTCACATCCCACTTCCCCCAGGTGCCAACAGAAATAGCAAGCCACGGATTCTCCTAACAGGGAAGGTACTGGCTTCACACTTGCAGAGAATTCCAAGGCACTGTTCACAGTCGGTCTCCAGTCAAAAGGCAGCATCAGTGCTGGTCACTCTCTGGAACAGGGAAGTTGCTGGGTCATTCAAACTTATACAGCTTAGATGTTTTTGGTAATGAAATCTGTCCCCCTCTGTGTGCCTCAGAGGCAATGACCAGTATCTTGGAGTTGGTTGTACCTGAGCAAACCAGGATGGAGCTTCAAACTAGGGATGTTGGAGTGGAAGAATAACCCAGTCTGTTACAGCACCTTAGAAGGAGAACCCAGAAGGGCAACAAATGCAAAATGTCACTGTGAACTGCATTTTAATTAGAGGGCGCATCCTTGCTAAATGATTTCTTGGCTTAATTGGGCTGGGCTCCTTTGTAAATAAAAGCTTCCTATTCATGCATAAAGGCTTGTCCACACTCTAGCTTCTAACACTCCACTTTCCTCCTAATCCCCTGAACAACAGTAGCACAACACTGGTCAGCCTCTCCAATGGCCCGTGAAAGGGACCCAGCTGAAAGCTCAGCACAAAAGCCCCCCCAAAAGGATGTCAGACCACATCACCATTGCAGATGCACCCAGGTGAAATAACAAGCTTCGGTGGCCTTTCCCCCTCCCATTTGAATGTAAAAACAGACCAGCACCTTGCCCAGACCGTGTGAAATTTCTAGACAGGCATATAGTGTTACTGTCTGTAACTTTCCATGAGCCTCCTCGGGTTACTATACATATTAATACACATACCGGCATTTAAAGTGAGGAAAATATGGGGTGCTAGGTGGTTATTTTTAATCAAATTCATCTGGGAATTTTAAATCCTAAAAACTGAGCCCCCATTTATAGGATTTTAAGGTTTGAACTGCATTTGATTTTTGTGCTTTGGAATGGCAAACTTTGCTTTCCCCTTTAAGAGACACTTTCTGCAGTGTGAAGGGTAATTCGGAACCAACTGTAAAAATCATTAACCTGCAAATATGAGGAATAGGACAGCAGTGACAGTGCATGACCCTCTGCAATTCTTTGAAGGCAGCCTGGTCTTCACAGCTTCCTGCTCAGTAAAAGAAGCTCCACGTCTCCATAAAGACAGCACTCGAGTCTCAGCTCAATTGTGTTAGGATAGCAGTGACCCCAGAAATGGAAAGGTGGGTGAATGGGAGCATGCCCCGGACACTGGGAGCCGGACAGGCCTCTCTCACAATGAGCCAGGCTGTGCAGGAAGATTCCCACGCCATCTCTGTCACATGCTAACCCCTTCATGAATGGCTTGAAAAGTCTCCAGTCTGTTCTCTACAGCCCTGTGGGACTTGCCAAATGCGGGCTGGTGAAGCATCAGATTCTCAGGTCTCCCTCCTGCACCATCAAACTGGCATTTATTCTCATAGAGAAACTCCCTGAACGCACAGCCCCGGGGCTTGAGCAGAAATCAAGAAAAACTCAAGGAGTCTGTGCCTTCTGGGTTTCTTGAATTCATCATTCATCACCATCCAGCATTCCCAGGCTGTGGTACAGAGGGTTTCGGACTATGCACCACACAAGGGTGCCGTGTGTGGGTCCCCCATCACCAGATGAACATGGGACTGAGTGGGCAGGTATGCAGATTCTGGCTCCCAGCTGAAGCCCAAACAGGGCCTCACATGAACACACCAGGTCACATGCATCTGGGAAATTCACACAGAGTCATGGTTCACAGAACAATAGTGGAGACAGTTGTCCCTTGTCCCAAGAATGCTCTTGACATCTTTGAGATCTTGTCTCTTACCAACCCACTACTACCAGAATCTCAATTTCCCCAAAACAGGGCTCAAAACCTGATACTCGGGGGCTGGAGCAGGGGTATGGGATGTACCTATTGCATCCCCACAAACACCTGGGCCTCTGGCAGGTGCAGCTGGGCTCATGGGCAGGCTGCTGCCCAGGGCTCTAGGAAACTTCCTGGAGCAAAACTGAACCATCATGTAATATGTATGAACTTTTTAAAAACTTGAGAACCAAGGCTTTTTTTCTAAAACACAGTCCTGTGAATTCGGTTTGCCCAGCCCTTTCCACTCCCCTGCGCAGGCTCTCTATCCCCTCGTCAAGCCCAGCCCCAGACTCAGATCAGGAGTACTCTACAGCTTCCCTTGCAGGAGGCCTGATCACAGCCGAAGGCCAGCTGCCTGGCTTTTCTTCTGCTTCCTTCTCTCTCTTCCCTTCTTCGAAAGCTGGCCTCTCTTCCTGCCAGCCTGGTTAAATCCATCTTTGTTTCATAGGCCTCTATGCTTTCAGGGCTAAGAGATGATGCAATTGTACCTCACTTGAAGGCAACGTCACTGAGGTGCCCCGGCTTGTACATGATAAATGCATGCTTCCAACCTCCATTGCCAGGTCACTGCATAGTTCCAGTCACTGCCCACCACACTGCCTTGAATGGCAGGTCACCACCCTCATACAGCTACCCAGACCCCCAGCCTACAGGTCAGCTCTGATATTTGAACACCATGCCCCAAACCAAACAAAAACAAAATTCCAACTACCAACCAAGACAACCCCACCTTCTGAACTATTACCAGTTCACTAGCTATCTTTCAGCAATAAGGCCAAGAGAGGTGGGCAAAACCTTGGGGGCTGGAGCGGGAGTATGGGATGTACCTTTTGCATCCCTGTGCACACCTGGGCCTCTAGCAGGTGCCCTTAGAAAGCCAAGGGTGCATAGGGCATCTGGGCACAGAGCCCCATGGTCCTGGTAAGTCTCATATAGGAGGCACAATGTTGCTGTTGACCATGTCCAAATCACAGCCTGCTATTTCTGAGAAGACAAAGTACAGTTGAGTCTCCACTGGCCTGGAGGTTAAACCAGTGGCTCATCCCCTGACCTTGGCCCCGGTTTGTGAAAGCTTCCCCCTTTCAACTTTAGAACTATGAGTTTCTACAAAATCCATTCCACCTTTGGACTAAGTAAAGGCAACACACCGGGGGGTCAACATTTATCCCTGAAGGCCACTGGGTTTCACTTAATGCACTTTTGCTCCCAAACTGCCTGGCCAGGGCTGGGATTATACCAGGCCTGAGCCATCCCAAAGGCTCTGGGTGTTTTACTGTTAGATGCACCAGGTCTGTCACCAGGGTCCCCAATCAATATACCTGGTACCTGTTTGTTCCCCTTTCAACACTGAGATGCAAATGACCACTGGGTTTAGCTTCTCTGCTGTTTCTGACACCAAGTGCATGGAGACTTAGCCTATTACCAGACTGCACGGTCTGACCAGGAAAGCAGGAATTGAGGAATCTGGGTAGAAATGAGGCAGGAGAGGTGCCCAGGAGTTGGCTCCCTTTGGGCAGGCTGACCACAGGCACATGTGCCCTGGGGTGAGGGGAAAGGATGACTTACGTGGCTCCTTTTGCCTTCTTCATCTCCCACAGATGTAATAACTGTCTCTGAAAAGACCGTCTGTCCGGTTTGGTTGTTGGTTATCTACAGTAGAAAGGGGGACAGTGAACGTGAAACTGAAGGAAGTCCAGGAGAATCCCTCCAGTCTGTTTATTTCATTTGCTGAAGCAGGGAAAGTGGCCAGGCTACCTACCCCCCTGCTTTCTGAGCTCCATCAGCAGCCTGCCCTTGGAGGCTGGTAGGAGATGCTCACAGCAGCCTGGGTGGGTCACCAGGAGGTAGGAAGGAGGTGATGCATGCCAGACCCTCAGCAGTGCCCCAAACAGCAGCATGTTCACCATTTTTGGCACTCATCACTTGAAACTCAGTGTCGGCTTTTTTTTTTTTTTTTGACAAACTTCAAATCTGGGTGTCTACTCAAATATCTTTCGTGAGAAGCAAGCAAGTCTGGCCGTGCTCCTGATACTGAGAATCATATTCAGTTCATCAAGAAAGTGTTTAAACCAAACGAGGACTTTCTCCTTATCCCCTGTCATCTGCCTCTGATTCTGTGCCCAAGTGCAGGCACCCCAAAGCCCAGCACCAAGTGGAACCCAGGCCCTTCCTGCCCCAACAAAGGCCCTAAGGACTGTGTTGGCCTAACAGCTGGCAGATCTGTTCTTTGCTGACAACCATCTAGTATGTGGCCTGGAACAAGTCATTTCTTTTCTCTGATTCACAGTTTTCTCATTTCCACATCATCTTTAATGTCCCTGCCAGCTCTAATATGACAGAAGTCTGCCACCAGGATAAAGCGGAAACCCTTGGCCTAATTTGCAGTGAGGGATCAAATTTCAGTTCTGAGGAGTTAAGGACCTTGTCTTTATTGCCACGCTTCTACATTTCTACCTAAATAATTCTTGTCCACAGAAATGAGATGATGTCTTCTTTATCCATGCCTCTTTTTTTTGCAGGATTGATTAAATAATATCATATTTTAAAAAAATTCTAGTCCTTTATAAATAGGTTGTGGGACTTCTCAGAGCCTGATTATACCATCATGCATTTTTTTTTTCATTTGAGGGATATACAATGCTTTCCAAATATATGTCACCCCTATTCAGCTCCTCTTTCATGAAGTACTGCACAGGACGGTGCTCCACAGACACCACTGGAGGACTACTACTACACTGTGCTGGTAACACAACTTCACTGTAGCATAACAACAATAATAAAAAGAACAACTTGCTTTTGCATGTCACTTTACAGTATAGTAAACTTTCATATACTTTAGATCATCTGACCCTCATAATACTATATACTGCAGTTGTTGATATCCTTGTTTTATAAATGCTGTGAGGTTTTTATAAAGTTAATTGATTTTTTTAAAATCACTCTAGTTACTGGGAGGACTCAATGTGCAGGTATTTGGAGATTTACAAGAAACAATTTTAAGATACAGCTGAACCTGTTGGCTACTGTCAGAAGAATGACTTAATATTGGTTTTGACAAGAATGAAATAATCACTTTAATAAACGATACCCAGTCTTCCATGAGCAATACCTAGGGATTCTGTTCCAGTGGGGGGCTCGTTCATTTGCATGAGGATCATGCTCCACAAGTGATCTATCTAGCTGGGCCCATCTCTTGGCAGTGGGAGAAGAGCCCCACAAAAGCCATTTTATAGACGAGGCAATAACATTGACTCCATTATGTGAAATTACCTGGACACTTGAACAAATGCAAAACTCTTTGTGGGACCCATTATGACCTTAGCTGTAGGAGTTGAGAAAAGATTAGAGGTCAGGCCCTTTGATATTCACTACAGAATGTCAACTCTACAGCCTCCAACAATGACCCTGAATATCTGCCCGGCAGCCTTTTCAGGAGAACATAGACATAGTTTTCTAAGTTCTGTCCATATCAACCTAGAGACCTCTGGCTCTGTGAGCAGGTGAATTCTACATTCCTCGAGATCTGCAAAGCTTTCTTCATCAGGTCAGATGGGAAATGAACTTGCTTGCTCCTCATGAAAGATATCAGAACAAGAGACTTAGGCAGGTGTTTAGTGGAAAAAAATCATCCGCTGCAGAAGTTTGAATGGATAACCAGTAAATGAATGGATGTTTAAACTCATGGCAGCAGAGGGTTCCCCTTCTGAAGGTGGGATATCACATCTGAGCCCCTCCTAGGGAAACAGTGAGGATCTGTTCACCATAACAGGTCTCTATTTCTATGCCTCCTGAGACATACATAAAAACCTAAGAGATAAAAACCCTTCTTCTAAACTGGTAGGAAGCCTAGTGTGAAATCTATTGCTTAAATGCAAAAGTAATTTAGGTCCCTGATACCTATCTCTTTCTTTTAAATAGTACTCACACTCCCTCTGGTTTCTAATCTGCATTTTACTATTCCCATTTGCATCCTTGGCTGTGTCTCAAATATGTAAATAGGACTGTAGTTCTCCAACAGGACTGGGTGCCCACAGGAAGGAAGCAGTGCTGGCCACACCCACCCTTACCTTGTGAATTTCTCGGTGCACATGGATGGTGTTGTTTCCCACCCTGGTGTCTGTGTTGGTCTCATTGTGATAGCTGGCAGGTAGGCTAGCTAGGTTCACTTCTGATGATGTCTTAGCAGCAGCCTCTTCTGCCTCCATCTATTGAACCAATTAATTCAGTGAGCACAATTGTTCTGTTCTCTCTAGTTACAAATGGGAGATCATTAGAAAAAAAGAACCACCTCTTTGCCTCTTCTGCGATCACAAGGGATGATGACAATGACAGGCCACTGAGTTACCCATTAGGATAAGACACTGCACCAAATGCCTTACATGTACTACAGCCCGCAAATCTCACTATTAGCCTAGGTGATGGGAGTTACTGTCCCATTTTACAAATGGAAAAACTGACGCCCGGGATGGTTAGGTAAATTCCCCAAACTCCCAGGGAAGGGTGGAGCTGGAACTTGAGCATGCTTTCATTAAGCAGTCTTGGCCCCTGTATCATACCGTTGGTGCCTTGCTCATATCCTGGTGGCCTAACCTGGAGTTGCCTGTGTTCAGTTCCTAGGCATGCTTACAGTCAACTCTCTCTCTCCCAGAGGGCATTCTTTGGTCACAGAAGTGTGTTCGGTTTGCACAGGCCCAAGTGCTATGGAATTAACACCCCGGCAATAGGGACAAGCTATGGGGTAAATACCCCAGCTTCTCCCTGTGCAAGACAATTCTAAGGTACATAGAATCAGGTTTCTCTCTGAGGTCACTCAGTGGGATTGAACCCTAAATGCCCATAGCAGTAATCTGCTAAGGGTATATCCTTTATTGCCATTCTCTTTTTCCAACTCACTTTCCCACTTCTTGATAGTGGTTTTCTGGGATCACCCCCAAATAAGCTATTTGCTCCCAATCCTTGTTGAGTCTGCTAGTGCTGGTGGTGGTGGTAATGGTGGTGATGGAGACCCAAAATAAGATAGTACTGAAACTCCTGCAGGCAGGCCCACATCTCTTGAGTATCCACATAGGATGCCTTGCAGGGGGAGAGCTGACTAATTCCCCAGGATCCACGACTCCCTCTGGCTCTTCTTGAACATTTAGTTGTCCTCTGGTATCACATTTCCAAGGTCATGTCATCAAATCCTCCAGTCTCCTGAGCCTCCATGACATCTCTATCAGGTATAACAGTTAACACATGCCTGTACTCAACTTCCCCTTCCAGATTTATCACCCTGCCCCAGCCCTGACTGACAAGTGGTCAGTTGACAAGGTGACCCATTCATAGATGACTGGGCCCAAAGGCAGGCCACATCATGGACCAATCAGACACTCCCTCCAGGAATTTCAAATGACAGTCACAATGAGACTTTCTGGTGGACGGGGGCAACCTTCCAATACTGCTCTCCAAGAATCTGGGCTATTTTTATTCTTTAAAACTAATCCTCAAAAAATATTTTCCTATTAAAAAAATCTGTAGTCTTTTCCCTCACTTTTTCTACCCCTCTTTTTCTACCTCCCCTAACCAGATTTGCAAAGCTGGACTAGACACGCAAAGAGGTCTGCTGGGAACCAAAGTTCAACTAATCAGAGCAGAACCTGGGGTGCCTGCTATGTCAGAGATGATACACAGACGTCTGACACTCAATTGCTGGCTTCATTATAACAATTGTCATAATAACCACCTCCATGTATGAGGTATTGGCCATGTCTGAGCCATGGCACCAGATACCCTGAACAGGTCAACATTCCTAGGGACCCTGTGAGGGTGGTGTTGTTTACCCCATGATGCAGGGAGAAAAAATGAGGTTCAGAGAGGTCATTCCATCCTTAGGAAGTGGCAAAGCTTGAATTAGAACTCAGGTCTGTTTGACTCCAGATTATGTGCCCTCCTGGAAGATAAGAGAGTCTCATCTGATGATGACTATAACCTTTCTTGTGTGGTTCTGCAAGCAAGTCAGGGGTCCAGAGGAAGGAGAAGCAAGGCTTCCAGGAGGAGTAGGCGTGACTGGACTGGTTTCAAAGAGTGAGTAGGATTTGGACAGGAGAGGTGTGAAAGTGCTGCAGACAGCACAGGCTAAGCTGTGGCAGCTGGACAGCACAGTGGGCACAGGAGAAAGTGGTGGCTGATGAAGTAAAGAGGGGTCCACAGGCAGATCCATGGAGCGGCATTAAGGCACAGGATGCTGGCCTGGCTCTAAACCAAATGGGTACATTGGAGCCATTCCCCAAGCTTTTAAAAACAGGCATTCCTGTACAACTATAATACACCAATTAAAAATGTGGAAAAGTTTAGATCAAAATACAAACAAGAAAACAAACATGCATAACTGGGTCCCTTCCCAGACCTGAAAAATTGTAATTTCTGGAGATGGGACCCCAGATATCAATGAGTTTCTAAGATGATTCGGAGGAGTCCCTTCCTCTTCAGCTGCCCCCACCTAAAAACTTGTGCTTCAGGCAATGGGGAGCTACAGCAAGTTCCAGACTAGTTGGGAAAAAAATACAAAAACCAGGAAAGGAAGAAAGTAGAGTCAGGGCACTGGCTAGAATCAGATCTAGAAGAAGGGAGCTCTATCTGCAGAAGGGCTTGTAAAGAATCCAAATAAGTCTAGAAGGACCAAGCCACCGAGAGATGGCTACAGGACTAAGCAAGTAGTTGTCTCCAGCATTGTCAGGCAGCAGTAATGTCAGAGATCTTGAACTGGACAAGGTGCATTCAAGTTCACCTCTTCTCCAAAGTAGCCATGTGACATTGGGCAAGACACCACTTCTCTCCAAACCTCAGTTTCCATATCTGTAAAATGAGGATGATCCTATTCTGTTGAGTAGATGTAGTTAGGAAGGATCATGAAATCTAAGTACTAGTACAGTAGCTCTCATGTGGCAAATATGTAATATGTAGCTGCTTTTGTCACACTGGCCTGTGAGCAGCTTCAGAAGAAACTCCTCTGCCAGGAATGGGAGGAGCAGGCAAGAGATATGATGTGTGTGAAGAGCTGCCCAAAAAAGTGCAGAAGAAATAGAAGAGAGATAGCTAGGGAGGGAGATAGGATGGGCAAGAAACAACTCTTTTTTTCTCCCCTAAGCAAGAGACTCTGGCATATTTAGTGATGGAAAAGATATAGCTGAAAAGAGAAGGAGCCTTAAGATGCCAGAGAGGATATACCCAGAAGGAGAAAGGAATATTTCAATGTTTTTTAGATTCCCACTGGAATCTGAATCATACAGCTTGGCTTGCAAATAATTGACAAGTTCCCAAATCTTGAGTTTGCTGTGGGCTGAGCTGACAGTCTTTTCATAAAACCTTCCCTCTCAGCTAGTGGTTGTTTCAACAGACTGAGCTAACAGTTATTTAATGGCACCATGAACGAAAAGTACAGTTTACAATGGAAATTTCAACCACAGCCATTACTGCCACTAGTAAGAGAAACCTAAGCCTGAAGCAATAGTTGTTTCATAGAGGAGGAATGTGCGTGTTGTTAAAAATGGCATTTACAGGGACTGGGGTTGTGGCTCAGTGGTAGAGCGCATGCCTTGCACATGTGAGGCACTGGGTTCGATCCTCAGCACCACATAAAAATAAATAAAGGTATTGTGTCCATCTGCAACTGAAAAACTAGCATTTACAGTTGGTTGAATCTGCGTCAGATAAGTAGGCAAAACTGGACAAAAAAAAACCCCCAGGCTTGGTATTGGGGCTCTCCCTTGGGCTGTGAAGCAATAAGAACACTTGAAAACATACCAGTTACAGATGTGGCCATGCGGGCAGGAGACAGGGAGTGGTTTTATCCTTAAAATACATATATTGGTAATATATACAGTAAGACAGGAAAATAGGAACTTCCCAGATGGAAGCCATAAGAAGACTTGTTTCTCCAAATAATGATGCTACAAGGAGAACTACTTTGTGTTTTCCCTTAAGAATCATCAACAGCTAGAGGCAGCTGGACTATTTAAAACGCCAGGAAGTTACTTGAAAGCAGACTCATGATGCAACTATGTAAACAATTAATGCATCCAATCCAGGTCCTTTCTGTTTCTTCCCTGGGAGAACAACTAAATAACAAATATCCTGTGCTCATGGGATTTAAGGAGCTTTCTGGTAGTTTCTTTAAAAAACAAAACCAAAAAACAACCAATAGCCACAATCCACTTAAGATTTATTATTTTCTGAGCTAGGGATATAGTCGAATAGTAACAGGCTTGCCTAGCATGCATGAAGCTCTAGGTTTATTCCCTAGTATTGAAAAACAAAACAAAACAAAAGGTATTTGAGAATTGTTCAATTTTATTTTTGAATATTTAAAAAATATTTTAAAGATATTAAGATGTACATCCTTAAAATATTTTTTAATATTTTAGGATTGATTTTTAATACTTTATTTTTCTTTATTTTATTTTATTTTTTTTTTAGTGCTAGGGGTAAAACCCAGGGCCTCGAGCATGCTAGGTAAGCACTCTACCACTGAGCTACAACTCGAATCCAAGACCTTTTAAAATATATTTCTAAGATAGGTTCTACTGAGAATCTATCAGACACTGATAGTATTTTGCTATTACTCATACTACTACTATTAGAACAACAATAATGATGCCCATTATTTGATGTCAAATGACAATCTTTCATAATTCTTACAATAAGCCTCATGAGGAAGAGACTTGTTTTAGATCTATTTTATTTATCCTCATTTTAGATGATCAAATAATTTGTTTCACTTAAAATCTCTTTTAATTCTTCCTTTAGCCTAGGTTGGGCATTTTCTCCATTTCAGACCCTGGATCCCACCACTAAGAAGCAGCAGAGCTGGGTCTGGATGCAGAGAGGTTGGTCCTTACTTTCATAATCCTGCCACCTCTCATCCTGTCCTCAGAGCCTGCAAAGACATTCTTCGGGAAATGACCACTGACTGGAGTAGATGTGACAGTCATGTCTCCTTTGGTGGAAAATTTTAGCCTGCCAATCTGTACAACTCAAGCAGAGCCATGTCTGGAGGAAGAAAGGATGGAGTCCTGGCAAAGCCCATGTGGTTGACTCCCATGGAGAAGACACAGCACTAAGGTCCCGCTGGACCCCCACACTGCTCTGAATCAATGAAGATACCAAAGAGGCAAATTGGCCTCATCAGGAGTTAATATTAGAGAACCATGCCGCAAACTTATTCAATGATTATGGGCATTTTTCCACTGAATAAAAACATGGAAATGACCTAGTCAGTATTACCAGAAATCTGTGTGCAGGAGGGATAGTCCTTAAAGCCTTGATAAAAAAAGCAGATGTCCCACCCTGAAACCAGACGGATCATGAGCTCAGTTTAATTTGGAGTTGTAGAATTATTAGTTATTTTGGCTTACCTGACTCCTCTCACCCTTTAATTGTTCCATGTCATAATTGTTTTATAATCTGAAGACACAGAAAACCCTGGGTCTTGGGATCTGGGTCTGTCCAGTAGATGCACAGGAGCCAGCATTTAAGACTGTGCCCAAGGGAGCTGGCACACTGGAGATAGCAGGGATGTGGGGAAGCCTGACCCACCAGCCTGAACATCTGGTCTCTCACTGACTCCTTCATTGGGATGGCTGGCTCCTCTCCAAAGATAGGTTACAGCCAGAACTGGGCCCATGTGACTATGCCTACCTTCCCAGGCACCAGGGACAGCTCCCCACACCTGGATCAAGAAGGAGGGTCCAGGCAGCCTTCTCCATGCTTGGGGCCCACCACAGAGGACAGAACAAGATTCCATTCACCTGTGTTTGTATATGGAAGGTTAGGAAAGGAAGAAGCCAAGAAGCAAAGTTCTGCTAGGGTATTTAGTATGTGATAATGGCTATAGAGTACATATCTATTATTTGCCAACATGCCCACATTAACATCATGACATCTAACCCTCACAGAAAACTGAGGTTCAGTTGTTAAATGATCTGCCCAATGTCACCCTACTAGTGAATGGTAGAGGAGGACCTGAGCCCAGGACTGACTTCAAAGCCCTCTTTGGTGGAGATGAGGTTGCCATTCTTATCCATCACCTTCTGATAATTTTCAAAGCTGGGACTGGGAATTTCCACCTTTTTTTCCCCACAATACATTAAAGGAAGCAAGACAGGCCAGACAGACTGCCAGCAAAGCTCAGGGCCCTTTGTGTTTTTGTCCCCACACACCCATCCTACCTGTCTGTATCTTGGGAAGATGACACAAGCTCAAAGCCCAACAGACAAGCTAGAACTTGGAGCTGCCTGAAACTGCCTGAGCCTCGCTACAAAACCACAGCGCTGAAAAACACCAGGGGCCCTGCAAGCATCGCCTCCAAAAGGGGAAGGCACGCATACTTTAAGACAACTGCGGCATGGTGGAGGCAGCCTGCAGTCAGGTGGTGACCCCAGCTACTCCAGGTAGGGTCTAGCGGAGACTCCTTGGACAGGCTCAGATCCAGACGTTCTGGCAGGAAGGTAGAGCAAGAGAGCAGGGAGGAGGTAAGGATCGCGCTATGCAGCTCGGTGTCTGTTACAGGCCCTTTGGAGCCTCTTCGCCTATCGCCAGGTCCCTGATCAGCGCAGCGGCCCGCGTTTAGAGCCCTGCCTCCTCTAAGCCCACTCCCCGCAGCTTCAAGAGTCCTCAGTCCAGCGCCCTCAGGGAGCACCCACCTCTTCCACCGCGCTGCGCAGTTTGTGCTGCGTGTCCTCCATCAGTTCCTCAACCTCACGGAACATCTCGTTGAGGGTGGCTTCCTCCTGCGGGTAGCTGAGAGCCGGGCCCGGCTCAATTGGAGCCGAAGTCGCCGTCGGAGTGGGTGCGGGGGCCGTAGGGACCGCCACTGCAAGTAGCAGGCATAGCAGGGTGCCCCCGAGCCGCTGCATCTCTGCTCTGAGCCAGCCGCCGCCGCCTGTGTGTCGCGGAACGCGGTCAGAGGAGCACGCGGACCACCCCCTAGCCAGCCCCGCCCCGCGGCCGTGCCCGCCCTGGGAGCCCCTCTTCCCGCCCCCGCCCCCAGATAGGACGAAACCTAGCCCCCTTTCAGACGCAGCTCCTCCGGGACAGTGGCGCCCCCACCCACTCTCGCCCTGTGCTGTCGCCACCTCGCGCCCCGATCCCCACCGCACCCCAGGTTCTAGCACCTGGCGTAGAGCTCTACTCGCCGCCCCGGTGCTAGCTCCCTCTTCCGAGAGAAAGAACCTGGGTCTCCTACGGTAATAGCCGCCCCCCGTCTCGGCTCACCCCAGCTCGGTCCCAATTTCGAGCCCTGGCCTCACCTGGACTAGATCAGAGCGCAGTTCAAACGACGGGACCCCTACTCCCGCCCCAGTTCTCTCCCAGTCTCCCTCTGGGGTGGGCAGGGAGCACAGGTCAGCTTCCTCCCCTGGGGTCTAGACCAGTCGCACGCCCCGCCCCACACCCACCCGGGCGAGACCAAGCCTGGCCATCCCCACTCCCGCCGCCGCCCCTCACCCACCCCGACAGGACCAAGATGCGATGGAGGCTGGATCAGTTTGCGCGGGGCCGGGAGGCCGCCACTGAGCTGCGTGAGCCGGAGTGGTGCGGCTGCCAGGAGGTTGGTGCGGACACGCAGCGGGGATGCGGCAGCAATGGTACTGGAGCGAGCTGGCGCCCCGCCTGCCCACCAGGCCCCCGCCCCGCGGGAGGAGCCGCCGCCCAGCGATTGGCCGGCCCGGGCGCCTGTGACCGCACGCCCCACGCCCGCCTCTTTGGCCTCGGAGACCCACTCTGCAGGAAGCCATCCCCTTTCCAGCAGACCCCTGCCCCCGCAGCATCCCAGGTTACTGTCATCTCTGGTCTCAGGTCTTGCAACAGCTTTTCTTAGTCTCATCTTGCTGTCTCCAGGACAACCTCTGCCCAGCGCACAATCCTGCAGAATGGAATTCCTGCCCCGCAGCTATCACAAGCTGACTTTAGTGTGTCTGCATTGGTCGACGCCATGCTCCAGCAAGGATAACTCACTTGTAGCTCCCGGAATCGGTCGCCAGAATGTCCGCGCTTGCTGACATTTCTTCCAGGGGGAGACATGGCAATATTAGAACCAGATGCCTACAGCCATCTCTGAGCTGTGGAAAACCAGATTTGTCTGTGAACCTATTAGCCTAATGTAAAATATAGTAGTATGTGCACCCCCTAGATAACATACATGATGCACGTAGAGAAGTGTGGGGCACGCAGTAATGGGATATAAGCGTCAGCTCTCTTAATGCAGAACACTGTCTTATTCACAGGACTTCTCCCTGTCTCTCCAGATGCAGAGTCTCCCAAGCTTTCCTCATCTCTCCCCATCTCTCCTCTAGGTTGGCTAGCACCCTGGGTTTCCATTTCACAACCCTGACTTGCCATAGGCTGCCTATTTATTGTCCCCTTTATCCACAGGAACCAGGAGCTCCTTGTAGGTAAGGACTGACTCACCTTTGTGACACCACAAAGTCATACACACGTGGTCCCTAAGACATGAATGGGCTGATTATTATATCAACAGCTACTGATATGTCAATATTTCAATATTGTTACTCAGTACTAACAATGTGCCAGGTGCAGGAATGAACTCATTGAATTCTCAACAACTGACCAAGGTTGGTGCAGCTACTTTCACTCCTGGTTTACAAAACAGGAAACTGCCCTAAGGGCCCACAGCTAGCCCATGGTTAAATGGGGATTTTAACATAGGAATCTGGCTCTGGAGACTCCACCTTTAAGCAACACCCTATTCTACACACTTGGCTCATAGGTGTCTGAGGTGACTTGGGCATATCAGAAGAGCAATTTCTATAGGTGACTATATAGAAAATGTGTATGGGGACCAAATACCTGAGTCCACAGCAGTGTTAATGGAGGAGTGAGCTCATAAGGACCTTTTTGGCACCTAGTACTGGGCTCACCACAATTCTATGAGAGAGGTACCTTCACCCATCTCATAGGTAAGGGCTCAGACTCAGAAAAGTTAGGTGGTCAGTCTAAGAGCCAGTGAGCAGCAGGGTAGAGGTGGACCCCAAGCATAGCCCACTCCAAAACTAGTGTTCAGAGAATTTACTCCTTGAACCACCATGCTTTGCAGAACTTTTTGCCAAATAAGGATTTCTAGCCACTCTCTTCAACTGTTGAGCCTCACATCAGGCCCTCCTGAATCCAAGGAAAGTTCCCTCAACCAACCACCAACTCCTACTGTGTTTCCTGGGTATTTGGCTACTCTGGCTTGACTCTTTGTTAGTTTTATGGGTGGCTGAGCCCATGAAAGGGACCAGGAGCTGAGTCTCCGGATGCACACCTTATCCCCTGGGCATAAGAAGTTAAAGCTGCTCTGGAGGGTGTGGCTGGGGACACACTCAGGGTCAAGTGAGGATTGGCAGCAGCACACATTTACAGAGTATAACGCGTGCTTCCAGTTCTCCATGTTGCTGGCTTAAAAGACAGGGAATTTCCCCTAAATAAGACTTCTATTTTCTACCTCAGATCTTTGCCATAAGGTCCAGTCTGAACTTACACAGACATTGCTGAGCTGCCCAAAGTGCTGGCTGACCACCATACAAAATAGTCTAAATTTTGTATTTCTAAATGTAGGAATGTATCAGCAGTTTCATTATTAAATGAAACTATCCCAAGGAAGGAAGGAGGGAGGAAAGGAAGGAAGGAAAAAGCAAATCTGCAAGCTGGTTTCATGCTAGCAACAGCCCAAGATGCTCCCAAGCAGACAGGAAAGGCACTGGGCCAGCTGCAGAGATGGGCCCCAATCAGATCCAGACATGGTCTGGGCTCCAAAGAGCTTGGGGCAAGGGTGAGAGAAATCCAGTGGTATTGGGGATTGGTTGGAGAAAGAGATCCAGATTGGATGACTTTTGTGAAATGAGGGTCCCAAGGGCACAAAGATGAAAGGGGCCAGGTCAGTCATCTTTTGAGTAAAGAACATGCTAAAACTTGAGAATTTCATCATATCACCACTGGCTAAGCTTTGCATTTATGAAGGACTTTTTTTTTTCTTTTAGGTATTAGAAGTATTTTCCAGAATTCTCATTTTAAAATTCTAAGTTCTTATATTTTCTTTATGAGGGACCCACCAAGTCATAAATGGGTCCCATCTCAAGGTTGAGCAAGTGCCAGCAGAGAAGTTGTCAATTGCCAGAAATTGCCTAGAAAGTTAGTGGCCACACAGGAATTTCATATCTAGCTGTCCAACCTTGAGAAACTCCTGAGGACATGCCTAAGATAACATGTATAAAGATGTTCATGAAGCAATAATTGCAATAGTAAAAATGTGAGAACTATGTAACAGTGTTTTTCAGCAGGAGAATGGATGAAACTGGATTCCTACAAACAACAAAATACTGCACAGCAGTAAAAATAATAAACAATATTTATAGGCAACAACATTGCTAAATCTCAACAACATAACATGGAATGGAAAAGGCAATTTGCAAAATGCAATGTACAGAATACTATCTATATACATTTTAAAACCACAAGACAATAGCATATATTATTTTTTTTATTTATTTTTTTAAAAGAGAGAGAGAGAATTTTTTAATGTTTTATTTTTTAGTTTTCGGCGGACACAACATCTTTGTTTGTATGTGGTCCTGAGGATCGAACCCGGGCTGCACGCATGCCAGGCGAGCGCGCTACCGCTTGAGCCACATCCCCAGCCCGCATATATTATTTATGAATGTTACACATTCAGCAAAAATTGCAGATATGTGCAGGTTGCCTCTGAGTGGGATATGGGAAGATGTGGGGGACATCTGTAGTTGTATTAGGGCATTTTATTTCTTTAAGAAAGGGAATGTACTATGGGAAAACACTGAGAAAAAGAGTCCAAATATTCACATCTGTTTAATCATCATAGTGGATTTACTGCATGTGGGTACATGAGCATGTCTGCTTTGTTATTTTTAGTATATTTGAAATATTTTGTGAATTAATTAGTAAAAGAAAAGGGACGCCCCCCCACCCCCAATATGGCAAAAGAAGAAAAAATGAAAGGAAAAACACCACCAAAGAAACCCTCTTGCAGTGGAGCAACTTCTCTTAGATCTATTCTCCACAGTCGCTAACCCTCCCAAGGGCCAGCAGTGGGTTCCATTGCTGTGAGGGACAAGGGTCTACATGAGATGGGTGGAGGGGCATTTTCCTTATATAGAAGGCCCTCTGTCTGCTTGAATGGTGGGGTGGCTTCCTGCCACAAGGATCTGAGTGGTGGCTCTGCTCAGTAAAGGGAACTCATCTGAGGATTTTTCCCTCAGGCCCCAGGGGAGAGAAGAGCTCTCCAATGGAGAAACCCCAGGTATCTGGAACACACAGACAGTCTAGTTATGTGATTATTATTGACTGATTTTTAAAACTTTAAGCATTCTGTGTACACATGGGAGGAGAGTTTATCACACATTTCCTTCTCCCCTCACCCCTTGCCTTCCATCTTAAATAGACCATTCTGAATATAATTTGGAACAAAAGTGGGAAGAGTTGTGATCAGAGATAACACATCCACCAGCTCTTTTGTTTTCCCCGCTGGAAGGCAAACCACGTGAGATTGCATATGGCACTTGTCCCCCACCAGTCTCTCCCGGGGCCTTGATAGGGATGTGCTGAATAAATGCAGGCCTGCTAAGCCACAGTGCAAACAAGAGACAGGACAGGGATAAGATGGCATGAAAACACAAGGAGAAACTGGCAGGTGAAGGAAGGTAGGGTGAAGACACCTGTGAAAATCAACTCTTTTCAGAACACCTGATTCAATGAACTATGGTGGGAGTTGGGGTTAGATAGCATCAGCAGGGGTGACCACCCCACTTGATTGGAGACCAAGGATGGACATCTGACTGAAACTGGACTCATCAGATACTTGCTTGGATATGAGGCTGGTAAAACCATTCAACTGAGGAAGAGAGAAACAGAGAAGAGCCTGTGAGCCT